TTTTGTTTCTCTGTCTGTTTGTTTGTTTGTCTGTTTGTACGGGCTAATCTCCGAATCTATTGGACCGATTTAAATGAAATGCATGGTGGTACCTTATATCCCCGGGCAACATCTTAGATACTTTTCATCCCGGAAAATTAAATAGTTCCCGTGGGATAGTTTAAAAAGTATAATAACTTATACAGCTTAGTACACAAAAACTACTAATTGGATTTTAATAAAACTTTACAATAATATAGTTCATATATGACAATAATAAATCGCCTACTTTTCATCCCAGAAAATTAAAGGGTTCCCGTGGGACAGTCAAAAAACTATAGTAACTTATACAGCTTAGTACACAAAAACTACTGATTAGATTTTCATGAAACCTTACAATAATATAGGTCATACATCAGAATAACAAAAAGGTTACTTTTTATCCCGGAAAAATGTACGGTTCCCGTGGGATAGATGTTTTCGTTTATTTGTAACGTATTATGTACACAACATAGATCCCTAAACAATAGTTATTAAAAAAATTGTCTGTTTGTCTGTATGTCTGTTTGTCTGTTTTTGTATGCGCGAGTCACGCGAAAAGTAATGAACCGATTTCAACGAAACTTGGTGAAGTGATAACTTATTACTCGAGTCGACGTTTAGGACCTTTTACTTCAAGAAAATCTTTTTTTCTCACGGGAAGATACATACAATAACTGGTTTTATCGAGTCCTCCCTAGAAACCTTCGTATAGTGATAAAACTTAGTGCTCGGGTCAACATTTAGAATACCTTTTACGACAGGCAAATTATTCATTCCCACGGGAAAACACAATAACTGGTTCTATCGAATTGTCCTTAGAAATTTATATGGCTAACGCTGGCTCAACCTTAAGAGATAGATGAAAACATTGTACAAGAAAATTGTAAGTCTTAAAAAGGTCGATACAAGAGTTCTCAATAGTATATGTCTATCTCCTAAGGTACACTCGCTATAACTATTTTCATTATTATATATTACTGTTTTATTATAAGTTATTTATTCTATCTATAAATATAATAAAACTGTAGAGGTCGAATGTCTGTACATAGAAAAAAAAATGCTAAAAACCGAGTCAGTTATCTTCTTACATCCCGTAAGAAGAAAAATAGAACAAATCCAGATTTATTTTCATTTTTTTTTGTTTCTCTGTGTGTTTGTCTGCTTGTACGGGCTAATATCCTAAACTATTAGACCGATTTAAATGAAACTTTTCATGGTCGTACCTTATATCCCCGGTCAACATGTAAGATGCTTTACATTCCGAAAAATTGAAGAGTTCCCGTGGGATAGTTAAAAAACTATAGTATCTTATACAGCTTAGTACACAACAACTTATGCACCTAATTTAGTAAAATTTGGCATGCTGATACCTGATATTGCCGGTCAAACAACAGGTCACTTTTCATCCCAGAAAAAAGAACGGTTCCCGTGGGAACTAATTGATTTTTTTCTAGAGGCGAACCCGAGTGAAGCGAGGGTGAGCCGCTAGTTATTTATAAATATGGTTCAGGTGCGATAACAAACCCAAAAATATCAGTAAATGACACGAAGTATATCTAAACATCGCCATCTTTATTATTCTTGACACAATACATTAATCATTGTTTTAAAAAAAATATGTAAAGATTTCGCTAAGTTACTATTGTCAAGTTGCCGGTACGTTTCAGTTAAAATTTCGCGCTATACATATTATGTATAATATAATACATAGAACATTAATACGTAGAACATATAATAATGTTAATTATGTTTGTGTTAAAAAATGCACTCTAAGAATGTACAGGTGCTTGTGAGGTATATCAGTTAATTATCATTTATTGTTCGCTAGGTATTTCTTTGTTCATGTATCGATATTATCTTAAAATTCTGCCCAATACATACTTGCCTCTGCTATATACATATAAAGTTGGTATCATATATATTGATATTTGGTTAACAATTTTGTTTAAATCTATACATATAATAAAATTCTAACTGAGCCGAATCTGTACATTAAATATTTTCGCGGGCAATGCTAGTTTTAGGATAAATTACAAATATGGTTGTGTAAGACTATTTTTAAATAGATATTATGCAAACCTAGTGTGCTTATCATTCAAAAGTGCTAAGATCGGTTCCAATATTAAATTTATGAGTAAATTAGATCCCTATCGAAGCCCTTGAAATAATTGAACTCCCAAAAATAAAATAATAAATAGTTACATTTCCTATGGAACAATTTAATATTTTATAAGTGACTCGTTATACTTTAAAAAAGAAAAACGTTCACAGTTTAAAGTGAAACATTAAACAAATCAAAAAATGTCACACTAGATAATAATCTATACATATAATAAAATTGTAACTAAGCCGAATCTGTACATTAAATATTTTTTGGAAAATCTTATTGAAATATACATTATTATCGATCGATACAGCGGCCGAATCTAGTCAGTAGTGTCTATAATATTTCTACTACTGTATGTTATAGTCAATGAGGAAATACTAGTTGTACCCAAGTAGTTTTACACAAAATCTTTATAATCACGCTTTATTACTTCACTATTTGGATAGATTTTATTTATTTACTAATGGCTCATTCTAGGAAAACAAAAACAAACCTATCCCACGGGAACCGTACATTTTTTCGGGATAAAAAGTAGCCTATGTGTTATTCCAGACTACAATCAATCTCTGTGGCAAATTTCATTCAGACCCGTTCAGCCGTTCTGGCGTGAAAGAGTAACAAACATTCATACTCACAAACTTTCACATCTATAATATTAGTATAGATTTTATTTTATTTGGGAACCAAACAGTTCAATATGATACACTTAAAAACAAAACGTAAAAAATAACACATCGACCAATCAAGTTTCCACAATTAAATATTCATAGATGCAAGCGAGCATATAAAGTAATAAGAACAATCACTGGCAATTAAGAATAAATGATTAACCAATTAATACATACATGATACAAATATGTTACAATAATAACAAAAAAAAACATTAAATAAAAAATTAAAACCATATTAATACATAATAATCAATAATGATTTTTGTAGAGAACAGATTATCTCATCACGTAATCTTCAGATTAAAAATGCACACGTTTGGCTCAGTTTGTAATGACCCTACTTTCTGTGCCAGTGGTCGTGGGTTCCAGTCCCGCTGGGGGCATTCATTTGTGTGATAAGCACGAATGTTTGTACTCCAGTCATGGTGTTTATATTTATAATATTTTTTTTGGTAACAATAATAATACTTTCCGGCTGGTATACAGATATACAGAGCATGGAGTATAGAAGTAAGGAGTACTATCTGTGCGACGAGAAAGTGCGTCCGTCAAAACGCGTCCAACAAGGGTGGCGCCTCCGTCTATAACAGTTAAATTCATATCGTAGGTATCAGCTCACCAAACCTGGTCCCCCAGAACTTTCTTTTCAAATTTTTCAATTTTTACATAATATCATTTGTTCGTCGTTTGTTCTCGAATGTTCGCCATAAATAATAATTGTTCATAAATCGTTTATTTATAAATAATTACTTAAAAATGTACCCTCAAAATAGCCCCCTCAATCGAAATTTATAATTTTTCTTGTTACTACTAGACTCTAAATATTTATAAGTGTGTGTTCGTTTATAAAATACATTTATTCTATCCATTAATATTTGGTTTTGTAGCACTCAAAGACAATAACTTTAAATAATAGTAAAAAAAAGACATTTCTAAAAACAAGCTTTTATTTAAAAGCTCTAAAAAGAAAAAAATAAACTTTAAATTGAATTAAACTCATCAATTTATTACATTACACAATGTATATTATATAAAAACTAAATTATTTTATAAAAAAACATATTGGTATGTATTTTTTGAAGTGAAAACTTCTATAGGCAGGTTTGGATGGGGAGTAAATTCATGTAAGTCGTCATCGACATGGTCACGTGACGTGTTAACGCTAACTAGATGTCAAATCCAAATAAATATAATCAGTTTTAATTTAAGATCAAACAATTAATTTGAATAATCAAAAATAACAACTGTTTGCTTATAATTTTAAGTTTTTACTTCTCTATGTATAACTGCTTTTTTTCTTAGAATTACTTATGTCAAGATCAAGTTACAAATAGTATTCTAGTTTATCTACACATAATCTCGCGACAAGTTTACTATCCCGTACATACTAACAGGCCAAGGTAAATAAAAGCTTGTAAAACCGCTTTTTAAGACTTCTAGTGCAACATTACGCAGCGGGGCAGCTCGTCGACAGATACCGCTATATATTTTTATCGCTATTTATTACTTACAGACTTTACAAAACTGAAATAAATAATAAATATGTCAGGACATTAACACACAACGCCATCTAGTATATATCCATGGTAAGCTACGAGGCTTGTGCTATGGATACCAGATAGTTGATACATTATACATATATAACTTTAAATACATATTATATATATAACAGGCCAATAGATATATTTAGTTCCACAACAGTAATTTTTGAAGTTATACTTCTTTTGGCACGTTTGGGAAAATTATAGGTATGTGTAAAATTTTTACGATGCGCGCGCAGACCGACAGCCAAAAAGCTTTTCTTTTACAAACAGAGAGTGAAATCTTTAGCTTTTTTTTGTTGTTACGCCAAAGAAGTATAACTTCTTACGTGCGTGCATAAGTACACACGTCTTTTTTATCTATAAAGGTAACAATAGTGCTGCTTAATATTTTAACTATATCTAAAACCTCTCCCGTGGCTATCATTGCTGTAATGCATTCGAAAAGTCGGGAACCGAAAATCAAAATAAATCCGTGAAAAGATCTGACAAAACAGTCTTTATTTAAAATGTCAAATATTTCCGTAAATCTAAGAAAGTAAAAATTGCTCTTTTAATATAATAAAATTATTCTTGATAGTAATTAAGCACATTTTCGACATTAGTGGAAATAGTGAGGGCAACTGTTCACTTTAAAATATTTCCTCTGTTTTATATCTATTTTTGAATCATAATAAAATAATATGTGTAACAGGTGAAAATAATTAAAACTGTGGAGTATTTTACATTAACAGCGCCATTGGGAGTTGGAGTGTGAACTTTTTGCTTATAATGTGAATGATGAGGAACGTCTAAGGAGTGGTGCTTGATGATACTAGAATAGTAGTAGGCGGACGCTCGAGGAGTGCGCTTTCGTAAAGGATCGTTGAAGTCTACATGGTAGAGCCCAAATTTTATACTGAAAAAGAAATATTTATGAGCTTTGTTAAGGTTTCAAAAATTGATATTTAGCACTTTAGAATGAAAATCTTGAAACAATATGTACACAATTGGACGCAGCTGTTTTTTACAGAGTTAAAATTTTAGATATTCTCCATTAGCGAAAACTTTTCTATTTTCATTTATATTTTCAACTGTTTATGCTGTGTGTTGTGATTATGATTAATATTTCATTTGAGGCAAATCTTAACGACCTGTTACAAAAGTTACATCAAAAGCTTTCTTTTCATATCCGATCGGGGGACGATAAAAAGAGCTCAATTATTATTTATTATATTACTTACGTATAACCGAACATCCATTCAAAATTGTCCATTAGTGACCAAACAGTGTAGCCTATGATGTCAGCACCGTCTTCTTTTATCGCGAGAAGTAACTGAAATGTTATAAGCAAAAATAAATGTATCTAGTACGAGTATCTGAAGGCACGGCATTGCCCGCGCCAAGTCAAGCAAAAAAGGACACAGCCTTTTCATTTTCTCGAAGCCATTCAGGACATTTTCGACAACCCTGTAACTTCGTTATGGATAAAGCTGTTGATTGTTATTTGTCGTGTGCGATGTCATTCTATTTATTAACCGACTTCCAAAAAGGAGGAGGTTATCAATTCGTCTATCTAATTCCCACAGGATAATACGTAATAATACAAACCAAAAAATTATTCATGATCAGAATTACTTGAAACTTGGTATTAATGTTCTTCAATAAAATTAAATAAATACGAGTTTTAGCATTTTTCGAAATTAATTCTATAACGGGGTAAAATAGGGGACGAAAGTTTGTATGAAACTACCGTTTTAGATATTTTTAGTAGTCTTAGCGCGACCGAAACCGCGGGTTCTACTAGTTATAAATAAATCAATGTACCTGTTTTAAATAGTCTCGTATAAATCCAATTCGTATAGTGTCGTACATTCCCGTATCCATAGTGCCTATACCGTTTTCAGATATAAGTATGCTAACGTTGCCATATTTCTTTCGTATCCACTTGATTTGGTGACGAATACCCTCTGGTGTTATCTGTAATAAAATAATATCTCATTTAATACTTGCGCTAAAAATCGTGTACTAATTTTGTACGACTTCAAAAAATAAGTTATGTGTGTGTGGCAAGGCTCGGAAACGGTTTAAAAAAACGGTAATTTATTAGCTTTTCGTTCGTTCGGATCTAGGTTTTGATATAGAAACAAATCAGTTAATCATTCATACTTCTATTAAACAATTCACCAAAAATTCGCCAAATGTAAACACACATACTCGAAACTCATTTTTTAATTTCGATTATGGAAACTAATTTTGTCAAAAACCGATTTCCGGGTTTTAACCGGTTAAAGAACGTAATCGAAGCCTTAAACCGAAAAACAGTTGTTTTTTTCAGTTTGGAGTCAAAGATCAAAATTGGTTTTAAAAGTGGACAGGTTTCCGAGCCCTGGTATGTGGATCCGTATATAATACGAGTACGTATATTTTAAGAAAAAATTCCATCCTTATGGAATTAAAGTGAATAATATAATATGAACCGTTTTCGGTTTTAGTTAAAAACTAATTACTGTTGGATCAACTTTAAGTACATACATAGAATATGTCTCGAAGTGGCACATAGGCTAGTACTATTATAATAAAATTTACCAAAAGGAGATCTGATTATATTAGTGCAAAATGCAACTAGTGAACACCCGAGCGAAAAGAGTTTTTCATAAAAAATAGTAATTCAATATTTCTCCACTAGATGGCGGTACTAGTAAGCTGCATCGCGCAAGCGTTACGTTCTCTTTAAAACATATGTAGCGAGGTAGTTAAAATTGTATTGGATATTTAGAGTATTCGTACTTCTAATGTCATTGGACGTAGAAATTTTTGAGATGCGTGCTTTTAAAGTACGTATAACAATATAGATAACTATATTTATAAAAATTAAAGTCGATGTGTGTTACGTGTATGACGTATGTATGTTGAATGGACTCCCAAAAGGGCTGGAGCAATTTTGATGAAATTTTCAGGCAATATTCAGATTAGCCTAACAGGTGGCTCTGTGAAGTTTAGTAGCGATTGGAAACTAAAACGCGGGCGAAGCCATGGCCCCATGGGTACTACCCGCCGGATAGTTCTTTTTTTTTGATTCGTGGGCAAACCCCTTTGACCGTGCGCGGGGTATGTAGGACTCCTCGCAACAGACTACCCACTAAAACCACCACGGTGATCCCTATCGCAAGAGACATGTCCACGGGATCGTGCGCATTCGACTGCGGGGCTAGTGCAAAATAAAGTAACAGAATAAGATCGAAGGATAACTTACAGGCTATAACAAATAACATACCGAGAGAAATGCAATATCACTATGTGGCCATTTTGGGTTTGCTTCTAAAATTGCGTTTAGCTCCTTCGACCCCATGAGGAACCATGGCCCGGGTACTTCGTTATGACGTGCCCGTCGAATCATACGACTTGTATAGAAATTCAAACTATAGAAATCATATGTCCCTATTAAATAAAGTATTAATTAATTTAATTAATACTTTATTTAATAATTAATTAATAAATAAATAATGTAGACCGTTAGCCGAAATTCGATCATAATCATTTTTTTTTTGATAACACTAAAAGCTCGTCAAAACTACTAAACAAAAAGAAAGCAATTGCCACTTTTTTCCGATTTCACTTAGTTATTTAATTTTTGATAATAAACCCATTTTATGGGAATAAAAAAAATAGAACTTGGCGGTAATGTGGCTTAATATTAGGGAAACTTTTTTAGAATTGGATTAATAGTTTCAGAGATCACCCCTCACGTACAAACTCACAAACTTAGAGATTTTACCTCTTTAGTATATTATAGCAGATTATCAGGTACCTTGAATTAATTTCTTTTCTTCTTCACTAAATGATGGAAGATTAGAATACGGGTATCCTTGTTTTGTACTGTATTCAGCCATTAGCTCTTGGACTGGTTCTGGCCAGCCCCCTTCGTTTGAATATATTGGATGTGAATATCGCCCAGTCTAAAGGAAATGTTTTGAATATACTTTTATTGTTTTTTTTTTGCAATTATTAAAATACTACAATTTTGGTTCGTCAAAAGTTTTCATGCAATCTATTATTCGTATGGTATCGTTGAAACAACCAGAAATAAGATATTTAGAAAAACAACTTTATCTATATATTCTATTTTTATTTATTAACATTGTTTAGTAAAAAGAAATTAAGTGTAGCTTAATTCTAAACGCTTTATCTTTTAAGGCAGATCTGTATCTGCCTTAAAAGATATCATGCAATAATGAGGAAGTTTATAAATCATATATGTATATGATATATAAAAATGGATCAGCTTATTAGCAAATGAAAATCATTAAAATGCTACTTCTATCAAGTTTAATATCACAAAGCTCATAATTTAAAAAAATAGTACACAAAAAGTTTGTGTGATTTATTTATAAAAATCGGTATAATTAAACATTTGTTCGAACAAATATATGCAATATATATATATATCTTCTTATATATAAAATTTCCATGTCACAATGTTTGTTACCGTACTCCTCCGAAACGGCTTTACCGATTTTTACCAAATTTTATATGCGTATTCAATAGGTCTGAGAATCGGCTACTATCTATTTTTCATACCCCTAAGTGATAAGGATAAGGGTGGTCCTCCCAGACCCCACCCCAGGGACGAACCCGAGCGGAGCGAGGGTGAGTCGCTAGTATATATATATATATATATATATATATATATATATATATATATATATATATATATATGTACTTATATGACACATACACTAAATTCCCTTGCAAGTTCTGCTAGTTCCTCATCCTGTTCCGATATCGGTTCAAGCCACATAGGGTTGTTTGCTATTGACACTTTTCCTGTAAAGAAATGAACTGAGTATATAAAAACGTGAAACTCCGTAGACAATTTCCATTGATTAGGTCAAAAATAAAGCCAGCGGTCAAAAATAATCATTATTGAACATTTGAAGAAATTAACTTGTTTTGTTTTGACTATTAAAGTTTTCACTATCAAATTCTCGTATAAAGCATATTTATTTATTTATTTAATCCTCTATTACACCAGAAAAAAGTACAAATTGAAAAAAAGCACGATTTACAAATATATAATTCCGTGTAAAGGCGGCCTTATCACTTAAAGTGATCTCTTCCAGTCAACCTACTCGTATATTATAAAGGAACTCATAGGGTAGCATGGATAGAGGTTGGTGCAAAAAAAAAAAGTTGAGCGTCTCGTCAAAATGAAACTACTCACGAAGTTTTAGCTCGTTATTACCACATTAAAAGAAATGCGTTGGGAACTGCACACTGTTGCATGTAAGCCACTTTATAATAGCTTCTTACCCTCACTTCGCTAGGGTGCGCCTTGTCTACATTTTTGCAGGTTACCGAATTCAATGAAAATTCTGATACTAAACACGTTTTTTTATCACAATAAATTATCTGCCTATAGCAGTTGGCACTGTAGCATCCTATTAGTGAAATTTTTACAAACTTTACCTCTTTCTTACTTTTTAACAAAAATGGGATCCGGAACCAAATTAAAAAAGTAAGTATTCCATCCCTAAGTGGTGGATTTTTTGTTTATCTTTAACAAACATAACAATTAATGCAAAACGCACTAAGATATAACACACACAAAAAAAAACAAAGTAGAACGGAGTACCTCCTTTTTGCCCTAAAACTCTTTGATTTTAAGCTTACCATGATATTTCTGCTTAAAATTTTCTTCATATATCCTCCAAGCTTTTGCATGGGCTATCAAAAGGTTCTTGTTACAAATGAATGAACCTCTTTCCTTTTCTTTTATTAGTGGTACAAGTTCTCCTGCATTATAAACGTGGTCACAAACAAAGAGGGGCTCATTGATAGTGATCCACATCTTAACTCTGTCGGCGTATAATGAGAAAACTATTCTAGCGTAATCAGCAAACCAATCTGCTATCAGAGGGTTTGCCCAGCCACCTAAAAAAATAGAACAGAAAGATTAAGGAAGAGTACATAATTGTACATACATATATATTTTATAAATAACAATGAAACGCTTTATGTTGGTAAGCGCAAAACTTGGGAACGGCTGGACCGGATTGGCATTATTTTTAGTATGTTCCAAATATTTTGAATTAGCTTTTTAGGGGATAATTTTGAAAATATGCCCAAAAAATCAGGGAATTTGGCTGAAACTGCAAGAGCTTTTTATATAGGTACTACGACTTTTATATGAATTTGTAATTTTATTAAAAGTAACTAATTTAATATTTTGTTTTTTTTTTATCTTCTGCTGCTGTACATAATTCAAACAAAAATCATTGTGTGTTTATTTTGCACATTATCAAGAACCAATAACAAATATTTTGAATAACAGTAGCTTGTTCCTTAAGGATATTGTTAGATTGTATGGCTGAATAGCCTGTTTTTTTACGTCCCACTGCACTGCTGAACGTGTACCTGCCATAGTCCACCACACTTTGACTGGCAGTGAAGTTTACCGAAAATATTAGAGACGCGAGATTTGTACTTGCTTCACCATAACACTTTCTTAGATTTACGCAAATATTTTGACATTTTAAATAAAGTCTCTCCCGTAACCATGGTTGCTGTAAAGCATTTGAATCGTCAGGAAAACCCAAAAATCAAAATATATCCCCAAAAAAATCCGAAAAGATAGTCTTATTTAAAATCGTTTAACCATATTTATTGATAGATTTTTAACCGAATTCTTATCTTAAAATCTTAAATCGAAAATACCAAAAGAAATACTAACTAAATAGCCTTTAGTGGCTACTTTCAAGGCAACGAAATATTTGCTTATATTACATCCTTCTTTAAATAATGGCTTGAATTATATAACGCACTAACATTCCTAAATTAATAGTTAGCTTTAAAAGTTTAATTAGTTAATTTGACTAATGATAATGAAAAAAATAATAGAGTAAGTGTGCTTCTTACCTAGATTCTGGATAGAAAGTGGTAAATCAAAATGGTATAACGTGACAAGAGGCTCTATCCCTTTCCTTATTAAGCCATCTATTAACTTATTATAATATTTTACACCGTCTTTGCTCACTTTGTTTAGGAAACCTGTTGGCAAAATTCTCGTCCATGATATAGAGAACCTTAAAGAAGAGAAAAACTTTATGTTAGTACGTAATATCTTTCATAGAATAGGATTCGAGGACCCTAAAATATTAACTCGTACAATAAATTAGCAACCTGTCCCAACTTCACCTGGATATAGTTTTTTTTTTATTTTGAAAATGACTTTGATATACAGCTTCCTTTGTTGTATTCACCCCTTTTTAACGTCCTATTGCTGGGCACGGGCCTCCCTTCAATACAGCCATAATCTACAAAACTGGTAAAGTGCAGGTTGGCAGACTTCACATGTCTTTCGAAAACTTGCTAGATTCTCTCAGACATGCGGGTTTCCTCACGATGTTTACCATCACTGTAAGATTAGTGATGAGCATGTTAGAAATGATGCGCACATGAAAACAATAAGAGGTGCAACACCCGAAATTTGAACTCGCATTACTCAGTTTCCCAAGCGAGCGCGGCTTCTACGGCGGTGTTTTGTTATGATGACACAGTCGTATTATTGCCTCCAGGTATATTTCTAAGAAATTAATTAAATTTCTAAGAAATCTATTGTTAACTGTAACTGTAATTCTTATGATGATTGAAAATATTTATTCGATTTTTTCCAATATTTTAGACAAGTCAAGAAAAGCGTTAGCATACATAAGAAGCTTTTGTGAAAATTTTAATTAGTACAATGACGTAGATATATTTTAATTCAATTTAGCTCCATACATGTTTATGAGATAGATCCATAAAATGTAACAAGGACAGGCAAAATATACTAAAACTTAAATATTTAATGTTTACCTATAAAAATGCAGTCCTAATTCATGAGCCATGTGAATGTCTTCTTTCCACAAATAATACGAGTTGCATGCCACGTCTCCACTACTTCCATCTGCTATGATGCTTGAATTATCGTGGATTGAACGGTCCCAGATATTCTCACCTTTATCTATGGAGAAATAAATACATCGTAATATATATGAATTTTTATTTTTACTTGCCCACTTTAGTGGGTAGTACTGGTTTCCCTTAAGCCGGTGAGTCCCTCATAAGCACCTGTATGTATACAAGTGATATAATATAAAAGATCATAGCCTATCTACGTACTAGATAAACATACACACCTAACTTTGATAACGTGTGATCAGAACAGAAATAGACTCAAGTTATATAAAAACAATGGATTAATTTTGTAACTTACCACTTACATTCCAAGCCCCTTCAATCTGGTACGCAGAAGTTGCAGCCCCGAATTTAAATCCTGGAGGAAATTTTAAATCTGTACATTCTCCTGTCTTCCATAGCAAAGATAAACTGGAAAATAAAAGGGTTAAATTAATGAACACTATCAGTCTGACTTTTATAAGTCTGGGAATCTTCCACATGACATTCGCGAAGTAATCTGGTCCTCACTTGCATTATTTTTTTGTCTTTAAAGATCAAAACTTTTATAAGGGGAAATCATGCTACTGCCAGAAAGACGGCAGGTATTGGACCAAAATGAACAATATATAATTAAATAAAATATTTACACACTATAAGAAAATCGTCTTTCATTTACATAAAAAAAAACTAAATTAGGTACTTTACCATAATATTTGTATATGTATATGAATAGGCAATGACGTTCAGTACATTTTTCGCCTCTGTGACAACAGATTTTCTTTTTTTATGTATCTATTGACAAACTTTAGTTTTATCAATAAAATATTTTGAAAACAGTCTGTACTAATATTATAAAGAGGTAAAGTTCGTGAGTTTGTGAGTTTGTGACGTTGTAGGGGGTAGTCTCTGGATCTACTGAACCGATTTAGATGAAATTTTGTAAGAAGATAGTTTGAGACCCTGGGAAGGACTATACTTTTTATCCCGAAAACCATCAATTAAGGGGGTGAAAATGGGGATGAAAGTTTGTATGGAGAATCAACCTAGGGATGAACCCGAGCGAAGCAAGAGTGAGAAGCTAGTTTTTTTTATATACATAGGTAAAAACAAAACACTTAAGTATTTTAAATATAAAACTATCTTTTCGGATTTATTCGCGGATTTATTTGGATTTTTGGTTCCCGACGTTTCGAATGCTTTACAGCAATCATTGTCACGGGAGAGGCTGAGGTATTAGATGTCTCAAAATGTTGTTACACAGCCTACCCACAAAATTACAAAATGAATTCAAAAAAATGAAAAATGGCACCAAAGTACCTTACAATATTTTTTTAAATTAAACATTTTTATAATTTTAATTAGTTTTATAATTGAATATTTTTATTATTTTTTATTATTTATCTAACTTTAGCTGTTATTATTATAATTATTACATAATTTTTTTTTCGAAAAAATATATAATTAGTAATGTATATTTAGTGTTGCCATTATTGTCATTATAACCTAAATATAAAGAAATATAAAGAAATAAAATATTCATTATTTAAGCCAGATAATCGATCTATGTGTAATTTAAAAAGTTAAACTTAATTAAGTATAATAATGTTAATTTAGTTAGCTATTATTATTTAAAAACCAATCATTAAGCAACACTATTACTACATACAAATGAAAAATAATGAAAAATATTAATTTGAATTGCTATCATTTTGATCCACAACAAACCACTTCAGTATTATTAAAAAAAAATGATTACGGTCGAATTTCGTCGTCGAGCACCAGTTAATATTATTGGGTTATTTGTATTTTACGGTACTGTTTCTCTTGTTAGCTAATTTTGTAACTTAACAATATGCTATAAACAATTTACTATATGTATTATAAAGTATTTACACTTTAACTCTTTTATTACTTTACTAGCGAAAACAAAAACAAATCTATCCCTTGGGAACCCTATATTTTTCCGGGATAAAAAGTAGCCTATATGCTATTCCAGACTATAATCTATCTCTGTGTCAAATTTCATCCAGATCCGTTCAGCCATTCTGGCGTGAAAGAGTAACAAACATCCATACATACTCACAAACTTTCACATTTATAATATTTATACAGATGTATATTTATACACGAAAAATCTCGGACATTCTGTTTGTTAATAGATGTGCAATGGTTTCATTATTTTGCAGGTTATGTTAACACTAGATTATTTTTGCGCTACGTAGCCTTTTTTAACGTAAGGAAATGCATTTACGCAAACCACCTGCATGCAAACAGGTGGTTATGTAAGACTGAATGTCTAAAAAGGCCAGTTCTACCCACTAAAACTTAACGAAACCTCCTCCGTCGTTTAATGGGATGCCACAGAATCGCTTACGCACCCAAACACGACTCCCCGATGGTATGCTTTCTGAAGTAGACCACAACAACCAAATATTACTATCACGTAGCTATTATGCTATATAAACCATTATAATATGCAATGTTTATATTAGAATTGTTATTAATTTGAATATTTTATCGGAGAAGGTTATATTATATACTAGCGGTTTGCCCTAGAAAAATAAAAACTTTATTCCATGGGAACTGTACATTTTACCGGGATAAAAGTGGCCTATGTACTAATCCAAATTATAATCTTCTCTGTGCCAAAATTCATCCAGATCCGTTTAGCTGTTCTGGCGTGAAAGAGTGACAAATATCCATACTCACAAACTTTCACATTTATAATATTAGTATATATTTTCGGTATCTTCTTTTATATCTGTTTAGACAATTTAGATAAGCATCCATTAAGTAAAACAGTTCGATGTAAAACTTTTGTAGAAGTTGGGAGATAACAGCCTATTTAAAAACCAATTAATAGCAATTAACATTGAATCATATTAGAATATTTACACATAAAAGGTTTTATATGCAAGAATAATAAAAATTCTTTATATTCATAAAAATTCCTGACGTTAATAAAAATGCCTTAAGTTAAAATGTTGCACATGTTTTTAATTTTTTTTTTATTGTCGGTCTCAACAATTTAGGAAGTTGATAGTAATTTGTATAAACAAAGTATTTTCATTAATAAGTATCTAATAATCACGAAAAGGTAGTAAAAACGCGAAACGCGAACAAGGTCATATTTTGCTCGTGATCCATCTCGGCACTTCTAATGATGCCTGGTGGGTCTACATTCTACACGATGAAGACTTTTGTATGTACACTATGTATGTATTCGTACACTATGAATTCGTAGATTTTTGAGAGACATTCGACTTTTTCCTATACTTGTGCTACAAGACATTGCTTCTTGCCAAATTTCATGAATCTAGATCAACGGGGAGTACCCTATATATATAGGTCTCGATTCCCTTGCAATTCTCCTTGTCAGTGGCAAAATATGCTGCATAAAACGGCTGTATCTTTTGATTGATTTTTTCAAGGGATTTTCGACCTAATTATTTAATATTAATTTGAACTTGATACCGCCACGCTTTCCTGAGAAAGGGATAGAGTCCAGAGTTCCGGACAATGAAGTGATCCTATAAGGGTTGCTTTTCTTCTTTTTGAGTTACGGAACCCTCAAATAAAGATGGGCATAAACATACAAATTTCAATATTAATGGAAATTATATTGCAAATTGACCATTAATATTGAAGTTTATTAAAGGTAATCTCCAGCCCACGTTCATTGAACTGATCAAGAATAGAACTTTTAAATACAGTGAATAAAATATAATCTATGCATATAATAAAATTGTAACTAAGTCGAATCTGTACATTAAATATTTTTTTGAAAATCTTATTGAAATAAATATTATTATCGATACAGAGGCCGAATCTATAGTTTTTAGAATTTTTGTCTGTCTGTCTGTTACCGCATCACAGAAAAACCACTGGAGGGATTTTGATGAAATTTGGTATGATGATAGCTGGTTATCCGGGTCAACATATAGTATATCGTGGTAACTTTTTACCACGGGAAAATCTCTCATTTCTGAGAAAAAATACAAAAACTGCAATGTAAGATTATACTAATATGTAAAACCTAAGAATTTGGTTTATGGTCATCTGATTGCGGGCGGAGCTGCGGGCAATGCTAGTGTCAGTTATAAATTGCTATTTTACTATATGATCTCTCTTCATATTTTATAGTAACTAATAAAATTTAAGTAAAATGGATGATTTTATTCTGAATGTATTTTTATAATATATTTGCGTATTTAAAATATTGTAGAAGTCAGATTATTTTTTCTATCGTAAACATTTTATGAAATTATGTTTTAAAGTACTCTATATCTTATTATAATCTACTCGAAAATACAAATACTAACATTTTTTTTTGCTCGGGTTTAATGTTTTCATGCACTACGATCTCTGATGTAAATTAGTTCTCGGTGCTTTTATTTAAAACTAGCGACTCACCCTCGCTTCACTCGGGTTCACCTCTAGAAAAACAAAAACAAACCTATCCGTCGGGAACCGTATATTTTTCCAGGAAAAAAAGCCTATATGTTATTCCAGACTATAATCTATCTCGGTGCCAAATTTCATCCAGATCCGTTCAGCAGCTCTGGCGTGAAAGAGTAACAAACATCCATGCATACTCACAAACTTTCACATTTATAATATTTATTATTATTATACAGACTAACGGCTTACCTTGGTATCACTCGGGTTAAAAATAATTATTGAGAGTGTACCTTAGAAGTTACACACATAAAATGACAGACTGTAGGCTTTTTAAGACCTACAATTTTCTAGTACAATTGTTTTGAAGTCTTGAGGTTAAGCGTTAGAGCCATGTAAATGTACCAAAAAAGTTTTTTTTTTGACAAAATACTGTCATAATTCAACCAATTATATACACAAAAGTTGCTTGTTTATCACTCATTCTATTTGTGAAAGATGTATCAAAATCCGTTGCGTTGTTTAGAAGAAGTAAGCGAAGAAAGAGACAGACGCAAACAGCGGCTTTGTATATATAGATGAGCTTTTAGTACTAAAACTAAATTTTGTATTCCCATCATGAAAATGAGAAATTTTACCGCCACTGAGTTATTAAATATGTAAATTTATTTAATTTTAACCCTTTCCTTTAACCCTATTAGAAGCAGGAACAACTCGGCCGAATCAGTTTGGCCGGTGTGATTTCCCATCGGAATGAGAGATTTTACAAAATTTAATTAAAACGCGTTCAGTACTTTTTGCGTAAAAAAGAAACATATAGGTATACAGTCAAACAGACGTACAGACAAACACAAAAATTTTAACTATTGTTTTGGTGTCTATATTCCGTAAACAATAAGTAACAGGTTAACATTTTTTCTTATATTTTATGTACAGATTTCGCTTTGTTACTATTTTGTTATATGTAAAGTTTTATCAAATTTATTTTCTATTCCTTTAACATGAGAATCTTTTAGGACAATCTCTAAAAAGGTAGGTTTCATACAAACTTTCATCCTTTACTTTATCTCCTTACTATCTCTCCACAAAAAATCACGCAAATCCGTCACTCTGTTTCGACGTGAAAGAAGGACAAACAAACAAACAAACAAGCAAACAAACAAACAAACAAACAAACAAACAAACAAACAAACAAACAAACAAACAAACAAAAAAACACACTTTCACATTTATAATATTGGTATGGATGTACAGATTCGACTCAGAAATTTATTATAATCACAAACAAGGCAGAGCCAAAAATAATGCTATGATATGTAAAAAAAATAAATATTTAAATACTTTTTAAATGAAGAGCCCATTAATTAATCATTAATAAATTATTTAGTTTAAATCACGTTTCTATAATAATGGTTTATGAACATTAAAAATTACCTTAAAATATACCACACTGTCATTGTTCTAAATCCACACTTGCTTTCTGCTTATTTTGTAACAACTAAATGTGTTTTCTTGTCAACGACATCTTTAAATATGTATCGAAAATATTTCTCTTTCACTAGCATTTTGACAGTGATGCCAATGAGAAAATTTGTATTAATCGTATTTGACCTTCTGTTTCAAGTTAATTATTTGCTTTCTTATAGAATGTACATACGAATATATTGTTAAAATAATTGGAATAATAGGATAAAACCTATGTATTACTAAGATTACTTGATATAAAAAGCAACAATATGCCTCTGTAGTCAATAACCCATATATTATACCCATTTTCATAGTAATGTGCTATACTGCCAATTTAAAAACGTCAAAATACAAAATATAAAAACATTTTTCATATAAAAACACTTAATTCAATCCTCTCAACTCAATCCTGCGCATTTCACCTTCGCAATAGAAAGGCAGGGCTGAAACTAAGCATTTTGGGGAGAAATGTCTATTGAGCACAGCAACTGCCCCAAATATCTCGGCATCGCTCTGGATAGGTCACTCACTTACTTTCCATAAAAATTAAATGTGGCACTCGGAGACTGCCGCGGTAAAGCTATTGCATAGCATTTTTTATTAACTTATGCAATTATAATTATTTATTTATTTTATTAATGCAGTATTTTTTTCCTTGACTTTCTTCATTAATAAATGCACTTTGTTTATTCATATTTAAAACACTTTGTACACAAAGTATACGAGTACAGATATTCACTGTTGTACATAGATGATAAATACCTATACACCTATATACTTTCTCACAAACAGCTGATTACGGTAGTTTTCCAATACAACCAATGCCACCTAAAGGCGGGTTGCTGAACTAAAGAGACAAGCGTGATATTTCAAAAAGTCATTAAAAGTTCTGGTATTTATCGATAGATGGAAAAACTAAAAAGTATCACCGCTGTGCCGGTCGGAGTGGGGGGTGTCAGGTTTTTTTCGTTACTGAATTTCTGGATTCGGTCCCCACGCTCAAGGCCCGCGATAGAAGCTATGCAATAGCTTAAAAACTGCGATAACATCAAGCAGAAAGTCCATAGCCGAAACCAAATCCTGCGTGATGCGTCGACTAGTCACATTCAAGTGGGGTGCCTCGCCTGGTGTTTTACAAACTACTGGCTTAGCCATTTCCTTTGGTGCTGATAAATATGCCTGCCCCGTGTGTTATTGTTCTTCCCACGCAAAACTAGTGGTTATAGCACTAAACGAAACATGTCGTATTCTTACTGGCTGCCTGAAACCGACTCCGACACCGGAATTGCGCCTCCAAAAATCCGTGTAGCCGTGGCGAGCTCCAACTAAAGGGTCAAAATGGAAAAACACACGCGACACACCATGCACAATAACGTCCTGGTGCCTCAAAGGCTAAAAAGCTGAAACAGTTTTATGAAATGTGTCTTAACACTTAGTGATTTTTTTGTTGTTACGCCAAAGAAGTATAACTTCTTACGCGCGTACATAAGTACACACACGATTTATATCTATAAAGGTAGCAATAGTGCTGCTTAATATTTTAACTATGTCTAAACCTCTCCCGTGGCTATCATTGCTGCAAAGAATTCGAAAATTGGGGAACCGAAAATCAAAATAAATCCGCGAAAGAATCCGAAAAAACCGTTTTATTTAAAATGTCAAATATTCCCGTAAATCTAAGAAAGTAAAAATTGCTCTTTTAATATAATAAAATTATTCTTGATAGTAATTAAGCACATTTTCGACATTAGTGGTAATAGTGAGGTCAACTGTTCACTTTCAATTTTTTCCTCTGCTTTATATCTATTTTTGAATCATAATAAAATAATATGTATAATAGGTGAAAATAATTAAAACTGTGGAGTATTTTATATTAACAGCGTCATTGGGAGTTTGAGTGTGAACTTTTTGCTTATAATGTGAATGATGAGGAACGTCTAAGGAGTGGTGCTTGATGATACTAGAATAGTAGTAGGCGGACGCACGAGGAGTGCGCTTTCGTAAAGGATCGTTGAAGTCGACATGGTAGAGCCCAAATTTTATACTGAAAAAGAAATATTTATGAGCTTTGTTAAGGTTTCAAAAATTGATATTTAGCACTTTAGAATGAAAATCTTAAAACAATATGTACACAATTGGACGCAGCTGTTTTTTACAGAGTAAAAATTTTAGATATTCTCCATTAGCGAAAACTTTTCTATTTTCATTTATATTTTCAACTGTTTATGCTGTGTGTTGTGATTATGATTAATATTTCATTTGAGGCAAGTCTTAACGACCTGTTACAAAAGTTACATCAAAAGCTTTCTTTTCATATCCGATCGGGGGACGATAAAAAGAGCTCAATTATTATTTATTATATTACTTACGTATAACCGAACATCCATTCAAAATTGTCCATTAGTGACCAAACAGTGTAGCCTATGATGTCAGCACCGTCTTCTTTTATCGCGAGAAGTAACTGAAATGTTATAAGCAAAAATATATGTATCTAGTACGAGTATCTGAAGGCACGGCATTGCCCGCGCCAAGTCAAGCAAAAAAGGACACAGCCTTTTCATTTTCTCAAAGCCATTCAGGACATTTTCGACAACCCTGTAACTTCATAATGGATAAAGCTGTTGATTGTTATTTGTCGTGTGCGATGTCATTCTATTTATTAACCGACTTCCAAAAAGCAGGAGGTTATCAATTCGTCTATCTAATTCCCACAGGATAGTACGTAATAATATAAACCAAAAAATTATTTATGATCAGAATTACTTGAAACTTGGAATTAATGTTCTTCAATAAAATTAAATAAATACGAGTTTTAGCATTTTTCGAAATTAATTCTATAAGGGGGTAAAAAAGGGGATGAAAGTTTGTATGAAACTACCTTTTTAGATATTTTTAGTAATCTTAGCACGAGCGAAACCGCGGGTTCTGCTAGTTATAAATAAATCAATATACCTGACAAAGGACGAACAGAAATATTGTCATTAAAAACGACGTCAGCATTGCTGACGTCACTTACCTTGTTATTTTCATTCATTTTTAATTTAAATAAATTTAAAGATAATTAAAATCAACTAGAGATCAAAATGATAAGTCGTTTTACTTACTATTATAATTTTTACTAATCACTTTAAACTAACAATCCAATTAACAATACACAAATTAACACTATAATTATTTAAACCTATCCTAAATACTTATCTGCTAGCTTAAGTAAAAACAGCCAGTCCTCTATATCAGGTAAACGCCCGAGCAAAAGTGAAGTGCGACCCATCGTCCACCCTCCTCTTGGTCGGCCGCTTTCCCGCCATATTAGCTTAAACATAGCGCCCTCTTTTTTTTCGGAAGTACTATGTTCAAACTTTACAATTGTAAAACTATTGATAAATTAATATACCATAAAATAAGAGGAAATACGAACTTAATAATTTATTATTTTAATTTTAACATTTATGAGCTTATAATATTATTGATAATTTAATTTACCATAAAATAACAGGAAATCAAAAACAATAGTTATTTAACAACAATTGAAAACGTACAACTTATTTAAATATGAAAAGTTACTTTAGAAATTGAATTTATTATAATTTTAAATTATGAATTTATTCTAAATAAGATTAATTAACGGCATCACGCCGATAAATATTATTGATAATTTAATTTACCATAAAATAACAGGAAATCAAAAACAATAGTTATTTAACAACAATTGAAAACGTTACAACTTATTTAAATATGAAAAGTTACTTTAGAAATTGTTTTTTTTTTTATTATTTATTATAATTTTAAATTATGAATTTATTCTAATTATGATTAATTAACGGCGTCACGCCGATACGGCCATACTGATAGGCAGTGCGCGCCCTGCACTAGCCTTTTATCTGTAACAATGAAAGTTTTGATTTTAAATAGGTATCTGTATCCAGGTACCTGAAAGATATGTAAAGGAAGCATTTTTTTTTTATTTATTGTTAAGGCACTTTTTTTTTATTTTATTTTTTTTTTATTAATAAAGTTGTGTTGTTATTTATTGACCTTCTCACTAAGTCAATAATTTTATAAGGAGTTGTAGCTATGCTCTGGGCGGTCCTGTTCGCCGTGGTACACAGAGGCTCTAAAGGAATTGGGTAATAAGGTCGATGCTGTGCTCTAGGTATTTATCTTATACCGTGGTACACAGAGGCTCTGAAATACTCTATACTTATATTAAAATTATGTGTAGATGTACACGTGTTAACGTGAATATTGCAACTACGGTGCCTAGTGTTAGAATTAGTTATTTAAACAGCGAAATTGTATAAAGATAATAGAAAGTACAGACCTTTAGAGGTTCCAGGCATGATAATTTCTTAGGCATCTATCTGAGAAGACGTCGAAGGTTGCGGGTCCAACAGGCTATTGTCTCTTGATGATTGACTAGTGACTACTTCCGTCCCCGCCGATACGGCCGCCTGTTGTCCAGGTTGTGGTGCTAGGCGCATTTGATCGTGAGCAACCTTGCGCGGTCGACCTTTGCCTATTACCTTTTTTACCATGTAGCGGTCGTTATCTAGGATTCTGCATACTTCATACGGTTCACTATATTTCAAGTCTAAACAAGTTTGATTACGAGGATTATTTTTTATTAAAACATAATCGCCTTTTTGGAAGGGACGTATTTTAGCTTTATTTTTATTAAACCTTATTTTCTCCTTTTCTGCTGCATTAAGCATTCTTTGTTGTACATGCTGGTATAGTTGTTCCATATCAATAGTTTGATTTTCAAAGTTAACCAAACGAAAAAGCTCGGGGGGTACGCAATTTTTGCGACGAGTTAGCAGTGTAAGTGGTGCAACCCCAGTCGTACTTTGCGGTGTGCAATTGAATGCTAATTGTAAGCTATCTAATACTACTGGCCATTCTTCAGTTTCATAGTTGTTTATCATAATAAGACCATTTTTAAGTGTACCAACCATTCGTTCCACCTGGCCATTCGCTCGGCTAGTTCCTGGCGATATCGTGTGAATATTAATGCCGACATTGTCACAATACACTTTAAAATCTCCCAAGAACTCGCGACCACCATCAACTATTACTTGGTTAGGTGTTCCAAATAGATGTACTGTACGTTTCAGCGCAGCTAAAGTACTATGTGGGCTCTTGCTAGTGGCATAATAGAACAATACATACTTACTGAATGCATCAATTGTGATAATCACGTAGTCATGGTTAGTTGTTGTACCCAGTTTACCCGTAGTATCCATATGTATTGTCTGGAATGCTGCTGTAGGCTTCTGAATGGGATGTAATTGAACTTGTATAGCACCAGAGTGACCTTTTGAAGTTTTACACACCACGCAATTTTCAACAAAGGTTCTTATAATACTGGACATGCTTTTAAACCAATAAGATTCTTTTAACTTTTGTAAGGTTTTTTCCCAGCCTGGATGTTTTAACGCAGTGTGATATGTGTTTATTAAGCTCCATTGGAATGATTTTGGTACAACTACCGCTTTTTGGTCATCTACATCTGTACCCACCTTGATTAATACGTCGTTTTCTAACTTATAGCCGTCTATTAGTTCGTTACGTAAGATTGCATCAATCATTGGTCGCAATGTAGGATCCCTGCGTTGTTCCACTTTCAGCCATTCAAAATCTTTATTCATAATATTAACTTGCAACGTACCTGGGTTTCGGCTAAAAAAATCAGCATGCTGTAAATGCTCACCTTTCCGGTACTCAACTTCAAAATCATAATTTTGAAGGAATGCCCACCAACGATATACTCTAGGCAGCAGCTCTTTTTTATGCTTAGACGCTTTTAAGGCGTTGCAGTCCGTGATTACTTTAAAATGACGACCATATAGGTATTGTTTAAAATGTTTTATAGCTCTCACCACGGCAAGCGTTTCCAGCTCGTATGAGTGATAGCGGCTCTCAACCTCTGTAGTTCGCATACTCATATAGGCCACGGCGTGACGACGTCCATCAATCACTTGAACCAGAATAGCGCCGTAGCCAAGGCTACTAGCATCGGTATAAAGTTCAGTTGGTGAGTTTTCCTGGAATATAGTTAAAACAGGTGCTGAGGTAAGATATTCAATAATAGTATTACGTGCTTGGTCATGTCGCTCATTCCATTCCCAATATGCCCCCTTTTTGGTTAATTCATATAAAGGTAACATAATACGTGAAAAGTTGGGAATAAAGCGGCGAAAATATCCAGCTAGGCCATTGAATTGGCGGACTTGTTTTACGTTATTAGGAATGGGTGATTTTACAAGTGCATCTACCTTTGAAGGACTAGGGCGAATCTGTCCATCAGAAATTATATTGCCTAAATATTCTATTGAACGTTTAAAAAATGAAGACTTTTCAACATTTATTGAAAAACCTGCATTCTGCAAAGTTACCAAAATCCGTTCAATGTGAGATAATCCTTGATCAAAATTAACACATTTACTAAGAACATCATCCACGTAGACTTGAGCAACTCCTGCATCACCAAGCAATGGTTGTAGTGCTCTATTTATGCATCTTTGGTATACGGAACAGGCGTTGCTCAAGCCGAACGGCATGGTTAAATATTCGTACAATCCATCTGGAGTAACGAATGCAGTTTTCTCGATTGAACTTTCAGCTATAGGAATTTGATGAAACCCTGCTGCCATATCAAATAAACTATAATAATAACCGTTCACCAATTGATCGATTTGATCGGAGATCAATGGCAAGGGATAATGGTCCCTGAGTGTATTCGAATTTAATTCGCGATAGTCGACACACAACCTATCATCTCCGTTTTTCTTTTTTACTAATATAATAGGGCTAGAGTACGGTGACCTACTTTCACGAATAATGTTATGTTCAAGCAATTCCTTTATTATTTTATTGACTTTTTCGCGTTCTATAAGGCTTAAACGGTAAGGTCTACGTTCAACGTATTTATCTGGATTCTTTAACCGAATTTCTAGATGTCCAGTATTAACTCTGGTTATAGGAAAACCCTGGATAAATAAATGAACGTATTTGTTTAGTAAAATTCGCAATAAATCAATCTGAATATTATCTGTGAGGTCACAATTAATTTTGTCAAATAAAAAATTATTAGCTTTTACATGCATTACGGTGGGTTGTCGTAATAATTTAGTACCATTCGATGTTACTAATACGCTCAACGTTGTATTATTTATTAAATCCATACCCACTAAAACGTTGGTATTTAATTCATAGTCAGGGACTATACAAAAAGATATTTCGATATTGATTTCATCTATTTCACAAATAGTCTTTAATGTCATTAACGATATTACTGGAAAATGTCCGATACCGCGTAAGTATTTCACACCATGAATTCTTTTACCTGGTAATTTAGCAGCTATTGTTTCACACATAACAGAACACTCAGCGCCACTATCAAAAATTGCACGTATTGAAAAGTCACCGATATTTAAGCGCATGGGTGTAGTTTTCGAACTACCTACGCAATTAACGTTTGACATAACTTTCTGTTCACGCTTAAAACAATTTTCGTAAGTATGACCTACCTTCATACAAAATGAACAAGTTTTATTATGGTGTGGATTAGAAATTGTCGTTCCTTTGCTTTGATTTAAGGTTTTGTCTTGCGACCCGCTTGAGTTATTCTCAAAAGATTTAAAGCGACAATCTCGTGTAATGTGATTATTTTTTTTACAAATCTTACAAAAGAGTGACATTTGAGAATCATTCAATCGAATTCGCTTACCGTAATTTTGAGTACCTGGTTCAGTAGGGGGACGTTTCTTCGAAGATCGAATCGATGATGCCACTGAGATAAGCTCCGGGACAGATTCAGCGCGTACGTTCAATAATTCAATTCTCAAATGTTCATCTTTAATACATCCTATCACCGCCTCAACCGCGTCATCATTACCTAGTTTATCTTTCGTTATACGTCTCCATAAAACCCAGGCTTGTGATAGAAATTCAGATATATCCTTATTATGATCGTAAGAATGTTCACGAAATTTAACTATGTCTCGCGAATACCTGTTTTCAGGCTCAAATGTT